AGTTCATTTGAACATGCACAGTTTAATATTGTTACATACAGAACATACTGATGCTAAAATTATTTCCATATTAGGAGTCTGGTATGCTTTGTTTTCATTTATTAATATAAGAAGAATGACACAGAGAGACATGAGACTGAATCTGGGGTCTGACTGCTTTCTGAACATGAAAAACATCACAAAGGAAGACTATAGATTTATACTTCTGCCAACAATGGACAGATTTGAATGGACAAGACCAAAACAAGGAACTGATGCTCTGATGATGATAATTTTACAATTATGTAATTAATTTAAAAAGGGCAATTTCTTCATTTAAACTCTCATTATGATTGAAAAGTCTATGATTTGTGTGTTATTTTGTGTTCCAGTCTCTTCATCATCATCCTCATCCTCACAGACTGAGATCAGTGCAGGCCGCTCTGTGACTCTCTCCTATCAGTTGTAATCATATGCTGGAGTCTCTTGTGATGATTGGATCCGTTCTGAGGGAATTCAGCTGTTCTGGATCAATCAGGCTGGTGTTAAACTGTCGATATCAGATTCCAGATATCAACTCCAGGACTCCAGCACTACATCACTCCTGAATAAAGATGACAACAGAGAGTGGAGATTGTTTAGTTACTCACAGAAATTAAGTCAAGACCTCAGACCCATATACTCTGAAGATTTCAGGTGAGAAATCAAAATCATTAATCAGTTTTCGGCAGTTGCTAGGAGAATGTATGTGATTGCAAGAAAGCCAACCTCTAAATCAGTATGATGTTGTCTGGCTCAGATATATGTTCTCTTCATATTGCTATTCAGGGTCCTCTAAATGGTTGTTAGGGTGTGGCTACAGAGTTACAATAGTTAAATTTACAATCTAGATAACCACCCTAATAACGAGAGCCCATCCTTATGTCTCTATGATGTTCTGGTGCAGACATATGGCTTGTTCATGATGTATTCATGTTGTGTTGTGAAATGATCCCACACCCAAGTTTCTATGATACAAATTTCTATCCAATGTTAAGTCTTTTCGCCCGATTTTCACCTGCTGTGCGAACATCTTACACCTGATTGCTTAATGCCATAGTACACCTCTCTTTAACAAGCCGGGTGATTTTACACCTCATTCATAGGCTTGCGACAAATGGCGCAGGATGAATTATGCGCTAAAGTTTGTATGGAATCTATAGTAATTAATAACTAGATTTGTACATTTTATGAAGAAAATGTGAGTGCTTGCCATGGCAAAAACTATCAACATTTGTTGCAAAAGCCCAAGCCCAAACATGAGAAGAGTATTCTGAAATACTGGAGCAATTTCTTTGTAGCTAATGGAATTGAAGATGAGGGTATACAAAGAACTATTCTCTTAAGTGTTGTGAGACCACAGACTTATAGTGTGATGTGAAATCTTCTCAGCCCTACAAAACCAAGTGAAAAGACTTGTCAACAGCTGGTAACAAAAATCATTTTAATCCTCAACCAAGTGAGATTGTACAGAAATTTAAATTTGATTCGAGAATGAAGAAGCTGACAGAAACTGTGACAGAGTATGAAGCTGAGTTGCATCGTTTAGCACAAGACTGCAATAATGGAGCAACTTTAGACCAAATGCTGAAGGATCATCTTGTTTGTGCCGTTGATGACAATCGGATTCAGAGACGTTTACTGTTCCTGGTGGATAAGGTGGAATACTTAGGTCACAAAGTAGATGCACAGGGTCTGAATCCCACAAGAACGAAAGTGAAAGCCATAGAAGAAGCACCTGAACTGTGGAATGTCACAGATCTTAAAGCATACCTAGGGTTGATAAACTATTATAATAAGTTCCTTCCAAATTTGGCAATGCTACTAGCCTCCTGCCTCTGTTGATGAGAAAAGATGTTCAGTGGACATGGAAAAATCCAAAGATTTTGGCATCCAAAGATTATCAAAAGATGTGCATTAGCCCTTGATTAACCTTTTCAGTGAAACAAAAGCAGTTCCTCAAATAGGATCACCCAGAGTGCGAAGGTAGGCTGTGATGTTACTAGCATATCAATACAACATTGTGCACAAGCCTGGAAAGTACCTTTGAGAAACTGAGAATGTGTTTCAGTACACAGGGACTGCCTAAAAGGCAAGTGCCAGACAATGGAACATGCTTTTCCAGTGAAGAATTCAAAACCTTCATGAAGAGAAATGGCATTTAGCACGTAACATCAGCTCCTTACCATCCTTCTTCAAATGGCCTAGCTGAACGTGCTGTTCAGACTTTCAAGGAAGGGGTGAAAAAGTGGCTGCTACTGAAAAAGAGACTAGCCAACCTACAAATCTGAGAAGGTATGCAAGAGAGAGATGTCCTCTAGCTCTCCGGACATTTCTCTACAGACAGTGATCATTATTTAACCCCCATCGGTTTTGAACTGGCTCCAACAAGCTCAGGATTTTCAGTACTGCCCTCAGCCGGAGATGTGTGTGAGGGAGAAAGAGAACGAAAATACAGTAACAATAAACCACACAAACTCATCAGTAACGCAAAGAGGAAGGTTTGGACCTGAAAACCAGCAGTTATTCACTTATTCTGTAAACTGTCATACTGTAATCATTCTCTCTGTGAGACATCAGTTATAGAAAAAAAAGTAGAACTTGGGCCTTTTTCATATTTCAAATATATTTAAAAGAAATCAATTATTATTATTATTATTATTATTATTGTTTTTGTTAGTTTTTTTGTTCTAAAAACACATTTAACAATTTAATTTTAATTTTAACCTGTTACCTTTTTTGTGATTTTCCTCCAGATTCTTAGCCTGATTATTCTTGTTCATCTTCCTCAGGATCACCACCGTGTTCTTCACTGCTGCTTCTTCTCCAAAAAAGTTCACCACTATATCCACTGTTTTAAACCTATCTGCATCCTCCATTTCAGAATTTGATATATCTTTATGATTTTTCTTTAAGTGCCATTGAAATGCCTTTAGCTCTTCTTTTCCCAGATCCTTCAGTGAGTTTAGAAGCAGCTCGAAAACAGATGCCATCGTCCTTCACTGACTCACAGCTGCAGGACAACAAGAAAAAGATCTGAATTAGTTCCTCTCTTAACTTGTGGACTCAAGCTCTCAAATGTTAATTGGATTATGAAATGAAGCTGTGATCAGATCAGGACTCTCAGAGTCAAACTCATCTGTTAAAGAAGTCCTGCTCCTTTTTACAAGATGTAATATAAGTATCAGGTGTCAGAATGTGTCTGTGAAGATTCAGCTCAAAATACCAATCATTTATTATGTAAATGCCCCTTTTTGAGTGTAAGCAAAAACATGCTGTTTTCATGTGTGTATCTTTTAGTAAAGTAACAAAGTACAAATAGTAGCTTTTTCCCAATTAGTTTTTTTTTTTTTTTTTTACTTTATTTTAATTTGTTGAACTCAGATCTCCTCTTGTTATTCAGTATCCTGACTTTTAAAGGGATCATGAACTGGGAATTCAAATTTTTCTTCATCTTTTGACAGGTTTTTATACTATCAAAATATTCTGTATGTTTCAGAACTCAAAACGTCCTTGTTCCAAAAACAGCTTTTATTGAAACCAAGAAAACTACTGGATTTGAAAAGTGTGCGATTATGATGTCATAGTAATGCTAAATACCACCTTTGCAGAAGAAGATCAGCGCCTAAGAAGATCCGACAGTAACGCCACATCATGTAACTAACAGGGTTCATTCCAATGCCTGATCTGTGATTTCTGATGTGTAATTATTCAACTTCAGATTTTTCTGTCTCAAAATCATTTAATGCTGTTTATGCAGCAGTAAATCAAGCCAGTGACTAAACAATCAACTACACATTGTTTCTCTTAGTAGCATGAAATGTTATTTAAATTGGGATTAAATTATATATAGAAATTGATCAAAGAACGCTCCCTTTACAAACAATACAGCTTTGTAGTGGTAAGGAAGTCACAAAGGTATGCACGGATAGGCAAATATCCTGCAGGGTATTGCCTTTTCTCTGTGTTGAGGAAGCTTGCAGTGGTTCATAAAACGCTTAATGCAGCTTAATGAAGATGATAAAAAGACCAAATATGCTATATTATGTATTAAAAATATGTACTGTGTACATGCAAGCAGATAAGCCCAAATTATGAACTGAATTGCACGATAAACGTTTCTCCCCCATAGAAAAGCACACTTTATAAAAACAGAGATAAAAAGCCCAAATGTTATATTTTATTCAAATATACACTATGTAAAGAAAAGCAAAGTGCTAAGAGTTTTTTTTTTTAATAAAGTTTTGTCTATGGGGGAGAAAACACGTGAAACTCAAAAGAAAGAAAACTCAAGGATACAATGGAGGCGTTTCAGGTTGTTCAGAAACTGCGCACTGAAATAGAGAAGAACTCAAACTGAGTTTGAAGATTTACTGAGCTTCTTCATGCACAAACGCACACTATGTTGAAAATGTAAAAAACAAAGAAACAAAAACAAAACAATAAGAGCCCTTTAAACAGTCAACGATTTCTCACACAAGTCACACACAGACACTGACACACAAAAGAAGGCAGACACAAGTTAGTGTGAGTTAGTCAGATGTGAAAGCCAAGGTTTGACACAGAATGTTAATGTGGACAGACTGAATTATGAATACACTCGCATGATCAAAATGAATGAGTTGAAATAAAGGTTGTGAGATGATTGTGTGTATTTAAGAAGAGAAATCAGAAAGCTGTGTTGTTTAAATCTGCTACAATTGCTTTAAAATATCAAATATTTTGTTTTGTTAGCAATCAAAAGTTAAATGAAATGAAATCTATATCTATCAGTACTTTATGAAGTAGTATTTACTAACCACAAGTAATGATGATGTAGATGTTTCTTGTTCCTCCACAGAACTTGTGTCTTGAGCAGATGTTGTCTTAAAACTCCTTTCTTCTTTATGCACCAAGAGCTTGTAACACTCCAAAGAGAAAGGAAACATTTAAATCGCATCATATGACCCCTTTAAGCAGTTTGCCTTCACCCCCACTTTTGAAAAATTCCCAAGAAATGGCATACCCAAACTAAAACAGATACAGCTCATGAAGCCTTTGCACTAAAAGCATGTCTCATTTGAAAGTATACTTGACAGTTTATTGTAAAGTCAGAATTATTTTGTGTCATAATGAAAAAAAGGTATTAATAGCTTCGATCTTTTGTAAAGTTATTAGAAATGTATTTGTGCCTTTGGATCAAAAAAACATGCTAAGATAGTTTGCTATGTTATGGCTGTTTGAGTTGGGGATAGTTGTAATAGTTTATTAAAAATGTTACAACCAACCCCTATGATGAGTCCAATTATCGATCACATCCTCTGTTGAGGCAAAGTCACATGAGTTTTTTGTTGCATATCAAGGTTTATGCGTATGTCTTCGTACCAGATAAACAATGATCTGCCTCAATTGAATGCACAAGTTTTTTTGTGCCCATTTTAATTACAGTATGTATGCACATCTTGATGTTTCCATCCTGTGTTTTTATGCTATATTTCAAAATTTCACATCAAAGTAGGTGGATCATAGAAACATAGCTAGTGACTGAGACCTTATGTGACAGGAATACAGTACACTTACACGCACAGTCACACAAACATGCCTGGCAACTGTTTTATGCCACATCTAAAGATCTAAAAATCTAAAATAAAAATTGCTTAATTTAAATTATGAAAAAATTAGATTAACACACATGATGCAATCTTGTTAAATATATCTAGTTTACTTTTTTCAGGTGTACAGTGTAGCAGTAGCAGTGTGATCACTGGTACATCAATAAACATTTCAAGTCATCTACAGCAAACACAACCTGCTGTAAAATGGGATTAAATAATGAACAGTGTGTGTGCAGTGTGTTTGTATGTCTATAGTGTGTTCAATATTACTTTAGCAAGAACAGACTAGAACACAATCTTCCAAAGTTACTTACAATATTACTTGAACTAACAGACTAGAACATGATCTTCAAATAAGTCAAGTGTGTGCAGTGTTCAGTTGTACTTAAGCACAAACAAACCAGAATACAATCTTCAAAATCACCAAATGTGCATTTTGCATTAGATGTATTGTGGTTGGCGTTTTCTGATTTTATTTTAGTTGCAGAAATTTCTGTTAACTTTTAAGAAGACTCTTTGCTCCAGGGAGGTGGTCGTTCTGCTTTTCAGTCCAGATGAAATCAGTCAACAAAAAGACAATATTCTTTCTACAAAGGCTTGAGATGCAGGGGCACAGAGCAAATCCCTTGCAACAGGTGCAGGTTTTGGAGTGACTCCAGTGTTGTCATGCTTCACTTCATCTAGGTATTTTTCCATTTCATGCATTGCTTTGCCAGAGTTATTAACTGGATTCACCTGGTTAGTAGTACTGAACATCTTTGTAGTGAGGAATGTGTACTTCTGAAGGACTGTTTTGGTGCCTCCAGAAGTTAATGGTATTTCACATGCATCATATTCCATTGTGGCTGACGTTTGGCTGCATCTTAAAGCTTGATTCAAGACGAACATTTCTGCTGCTCTCTTTAGATGCTGCATCTTAAGAGCTAGGGAGACAGATGGGTCCATAAGAGATGCTGCAGCTGCTGGATCAAACTTTTCATGTGTAGGATCAAGTATGCCTGCAAAGCGTTGTCGCATCGACCTAAGAAGGACTTGAACGGTCTGTTTTTCCATGTTGGTAGCCTGCAGATGTGCTTCCAGATTCAGCAGGGATGGCACTATACTTCAAATAGGGACTGGCTATCTGTCTGAAGCTCATGTGTGTAGCAAATGGTTCTAGTACTTTCAGGAGATTTTCTAGTTTTGTCCGTTCACTGGTCAGAAGAGTGTCAATCCTAAGCTCCTGTAGGATTTCATTGAGGATAGGTCTGGTTTCAATCAGTCTTTTGATTATGTCAAATGAACTATTCCACAATGTGGGGCAATCACTGATGAGTGTTCATCCACAACTTAAAAAAATGAATATAAGAATATCATCTTTCCCCTCTACAAACATGTTGTAAAGGTCTTTTTTATATATATCTGATGCATATCAGTTATTGTATCAATAAAATAATGTATATCTTATACCTTTCACTTTTTAAACTTTAAAATTATTTAAGTAAATGATATAAATGTATGTTGAGTGTTGTGTGTCTGTGTGTAAGATTTGGCAATCATGGTTTGTGAGGACACTTTGTGTATGTTACAACTGTAATTACTAATAACTGTAATAACAACTAGATTTCGTCATCTCTAACAGTGGTCTGTTTTCACAGTGATTGCAGAGGGTAAATATAGTCTATGGAGAGTCCTCATAATCCACATATGTGACCCTGAACCACAAAATCAGTCATAAGGGTCAATTTTTCGAAATTGAGATTTACACATCATCTGAAAGCTGAATAAATAAGCTTTCCATTGATGTATGGTTTGTTAGGATAGGACAATATTTGGCCGAGATACAACTATTTGAAAATCTGGAATCTGAGGGTGGAAAAAATTCAAAACATTAGAAAATCACCTTTAAAGTTGTCCAAATGAAGTTCTTAGCAATCCATATTACTAATCAAAAATTAAGTTTTAATATATTTACAGTAGGAACATTTACAAAATATCTTCATGGAACATGATCTTTACTTAATATCCTAGTGATTTGTGGAATAAAAGAAAAATCTATAATTTTGACCCATACAATGTATTGTTGGCTATTGCTACAAATATACCCCAGCGACTTAAGACTGGTTTTGTGCTCCAGGGTCGCATATGCTAGTTTGTGTGCAAGAAAGTTAAATATAAAACATAAACCTAAATATAAAATAAAACCTTACCTTTGAATCATTTGTTCATTTGCCACTCAGGACTTCCGTACAGCATGAACGATTGCCTTTGCCTTGGTGAGAATGGTACTTTCAATGCACCCTTAACTGCACCCTTAACTTTCTGACGAACCATTCCCAACAATTCAACATCCATTGAACTGAATATTGGAGCCCCCCAGGGTTGTGTACTGAGCCCAGTCTAGTACACCCTGTATACACATGACTGTTCACCTGTCCATCCTTCTAACTCCATTATTAAGTTCGCGGATGACACAACCGTAGTTGGACTCATCTCAGATGGAGATGAATCTGCATACCGAGAGGAGATCCACAGACTGGTGGCCTGGTGCTCAACAAACAGCTTGATTCTGAATACCTCTAAAACCAAAGAACTGATAGTGGACTTCAGGAAGAAGTGAGACTCAGTCCCTGCCCTACTCTACATCAATGGAGAACGCGTGGAGAGAGTGGAGACCTTTAAATATGTAGGTGTCCTCATATCTAACGACTTATCCTGGGCAGCCAACACCACCGCTATAGTTAAAAGAGCATGTCAGAGACTCCACTTCCTGAGGGTGCTTAGGAGAAATAATATGGATAGGAGACTGCTCATCCGCTTTTATCATGCAACAGTTGAGTCTGTTCTGACCTACTGTATACCAGTGTGGTATGCATGCTGCTCTGCTGCTGACAAAAAGAGACTGCAGGGAGTGGTGAGAACGGCAGAGAAAATCATTGGCTGCCAGTTGCCAGCTTTGGAGGATGTTGCCTCTACACGCTACCTTAGCAGGGCACAAAACATCACAAGAGACTGCTCCCATCCCGGTCATGACCTGTTTGAATTGCTGCCATCTGGCAGATGCTACAGATCAGCCAAAACTCACACAAGCAGATTCAGAGAGTTTCTTTCCGAGAGATATAAACATCCTGAACAGTTATCTACACTGCGTGCATAATTATTAGGCATGTTGATATTCTGATGATATTTTTTTCCAATCACTTTTACCTATTCCAAAACACATCAATCTTAATAACTACTACTAATTTTGTATTTAATCATTTATAAGTGATATATAATTGTCCATGAAGGCTGGAAGTGAAAACTCCTTATATGCAGGTGTGCAGAATTATTAGGCATGTTTTATTTTACAGATAAAATGAGCCAAAAAAGAGGTTTAACTCAGACTGAAAAGTCAAAAATTATTAAATCCCCATGAGAAATATTCAAAACTAATGCAATACAGAAATTGCAAAGTTAAGGCATGACCACTGGACAGCAAAATGCACATTGGGTCAGCGAGGTCAGAAAAGAACAGGTGGAGAAGAAAATACACGTTAACTGCAAAAGATTTAAGAATTAATGTTAAGAATTAGGTGTAAAACCATCATGAAACATTTAGTCTCCAGCGCCACCATTTTCCAGAACTGCAACCTTCCTGGAGTCTCAAAGAATTTAAAGGTGTCAGGTTCTCAGAGACTTTGCTTGGGTAAAAAAATCCTAAAAAAATTACCCTCACTTAATAAGAATACCAAGCTAAACTGTTGTGAAATACATTAAGACTGATGTTCTTTATAGGCTTTATTGACAGATAAGTTGTGAGTGACTCTTGAAGGACCAGCATCTGCAGATAATCAAGTCTCTGAGAATCAAGATCAAGAAGGATTTTCTAGACAAGTAAAAATGAATGTCTTGTTTTCAGAAAAAAAACAAGTCAAAATTAAGTGAACTTTTGCTTAGAACAAGCAAAATAATAAAATAATGTGTTTTTCGAACAACCTAGTATGAGAGCCTGTTCTAGTACACCCCCAAAACAAAATCAATACTTTGTAAAAGAGCATAATAGGACCCCTTTAAGAATTTTTTGATATTTTGGCTGGAAACAAGACAAAAAATATAAGTAAGAAAATATTTTTTTTTTCAGTGTAGCAAAAGCAGATACTCCAACAGTCGTTTTTGGCAAAGGCAGATAACACCACATTTCATTTTTCAGAGTGAAAACACTTGTTTAATCTTTGTAATCTCCTCAGCTGACAATGTAGATGCCTGACAAACGTTGCTGTTGTTGTGACGTGCTGCTTTAGCAAAGTCCTGTGAAAAAG